GAGTGGGAATAAAGAGGCAGAAGGCCGCGGTGCTGCCGCTGCTGCTTGGAGAGGGACGACGACGACGACGACAAAAAGAGGGCGCGGCCGCAAATGCGAGGAACACGGCACACGCCCCCGCGGCAACGGGCTGCACCTCGTCCTCCTTCGTGTGCCCCTCGCACTTCCTCGCCCCCAAGAGCGTCACGCCTGCTGCTGCTGCTGCTGCTGCTGCTGCTGTTGCTCGTGCCGTCTGTTGGGGCGGGGAGCCCGGGGGCGGTAGGGGGCGGCCCGCAGCGGGGGGACCTTCCGGCGGGCTTCATACGCAGCCCGCTGCTGCACGAGCACTCCTTCGCCGCCCCCATCGTCACGGACTGGTGGGAGGAGGGGGTGCCGCACTTCATGATTGGCGGCTCCGCTGTGGCGAATGAGAAGTTTATTCGCCTCACCACAAACAGCCCCGGCGATCACGGGTTTGCCTTCAACACGGCCCCGTGCGATCACCACGCGTGGGAGGCGCGGCTGCGGTTCTCAATTCGCCCGCCGCTGCCGCTTGTGCGGGCGCGGTGGCGGCAGGAAGAGGAGGTGGTGCCGTACCAGGGCGGCGAGGGAATGGCGCTGTGGTACCTGCAGCAGCCGCTCGGGGACGACCACCAGCACGTGCCCAAGTACAGCAAGCCGCTGGACCCGGACGCCGCCGAGGAGGAAAAGCTGCGCCACGACCCCGCACAAGCGGCGGATCTGCTCTTGGGCCCCCCAGACCCTGACGACGACGATGAGGAGGAGGAGGACGCGGAGGCGGCCAACGCGACGGTGCGGGAGGAGCGCCGTGTGGCGCGGCTGCTGCAGCAGCAGGAGCGCGAGGCGATGTACCGCCGCCACCTGGGCCGGGGCACCTCAACGGACAACAGCGACCTCGAGCCCCGCATTTTTGGGCTGAAGTTCTCGGAATTTAAGGGCTTCGGCGTCCTCCTCGACTCCGTGGGGCACCGCGAGGAGGCCGCCCAGCAGCAGCGGAACGGCAGCAGCAGCGGCCGCACCGGCTGGGCCCGCCACGAGATGCACGACCCCCGCGTCACGCTGCTGCTGAATCTGCCGGCGGAGGAAGGCGGTGGGGCAAAACCGCCGGCTGTGAACAACTTCAACCCGCAGAACCCCAACTTCCGCGCCTCGGCGGTGCGACTGCAGTGTCGGTACGACTTCCGCCAGTCCCCGACGGAGCGGGCGGTGCGGATGTCGACAGCGACGGCGCGGGCGGAGGCCCGGGAGGCCGCGGGGGAGGCGCTGCTGCGCCGCACCCCGGAGGACCCGGTGGAGCTCGTCGTGCGGTACCACCGCCGCCGCCTGACCGTCACGCTCACCCGCGAGGACGTGAGCCGCCGCCGCCTGGTCGCCGTGAGCCCCGGCGACGCGCCGCAGCAGAGGCCGTCGAAGAGCGGCAACGCCTACCACATCGAAAAGACGTACGTCAACACGCTGTGTGGGGAGATTGACGACGTGGAGCTGCCGCTGGGGTACCACTTTGGGGTCTCCGCCAGCACTGGGCCGCGGGCGAAGCGGAAGGAGTTGGGGAGGGAGCGGCCTCCCTTCCCGCACGGTGAGGCCCTCAGGACGCTGCTGCAGGAGTCCTATGCGCTGGAGACGACGGAGATGCACGTGGATGTGCACGACGTCATCGCGTTTGAGCTGCGTGAGCTGGGCAAAGACGCCAAGGCGATGGGGTACTCGAAGAGCATCCCGATTGAGCACTTCGACTACGATGTCGACCGACGCGAGCGGCAGCACTTCTCGCGGCAACTCCCCGTTGAGCCGGAGCCAGACGATTCGCCTCTCTGAGGCGGGATAGAGGTGGTAGAGAGAGAGGAAAGGAGAGCGGCGGCGGCGGGGAAGACGCGAAAGCTCAAGTTTGAGTTATTTCTATTTACTTATTTTCAATGTGCATGTGTGTATGTATTTTTTTTCTTCATCTGTATTTCTTAGTTTGTGTTGTTTTTGGTGTCCGTCCCCTTTCTTGGCTGCGGAATAGTCACTGTGGTAAATGATGAGGCGTATGTTCTCTTTTTGTTGTCGTCGTTTTTGTTGTTTGGTTTCCGCTTCGTTGCGCGGGGGGGTGCTTGCGCCTCCCGCATGTGAATACACATTACCTGCAATTTGGGGCGTCTGCAGGGGGCCGAGCCGCTGCTGGTGGTGGTGGTGGGAGAGAGAGAAGGGGGAGGGCTGGTGCGTCACGCGCCTGCCTGCGCGCAAGCCGCGCTGGCCGTTGGACCTGCCACGACCCCTTTTTTTTCTTTTCTTTTCGGTCTCTTTCTCTCTCCTTGTGCATGTGGGATGGAGAAAGTTTCTTTCCGCTTCTGCGCCTCGTCTTTTCCCTCGCACGGTGGCGCGGCGCGTGACCATCGCGAGGGGAACGCCTGGAAACAGAAGCAGAACACACAGGCAAAAACAATACTATGCCGCACGGCGGCGGCGACACCGCGCCAGTGATTGCCGGTGCCTTTCGACGCCACCGGTGCCCGTCGCCGGAGAGCCCGAAGAGCGGCGGCCGCTGTGACGACGACGACGACGACGATGACGAGGCAAGCGGCGGTGCGTGGGGCGGAGTTGAAGCAAAGCCGCTGTCGCTACTCTTTCGGCCCCGTGAGCTGCGACGGCTCCTCCAGCCGGAAAGTGCGCCGCCGGACGTTGACGCTACGGCGGAAGGTGGGAGTGCGTGCAGCCACGTGAGTGTGATGCTCTCCGCGGAGGGGAGCACCGGAGCGGGGCGGCGGAGCGGCTCCCCGGCGGAGTGTGGCAGGCGGCCCTCGCAGGCGCAGCGTCAGCGGGAGTTGGCGTACCTGCTCCACGTCCTGCAGGCCGCACATGCGGAGACGCGGCGGTGGCAGTCACGCTGCACTGAGCTGCAGGCGGAATTAAGCAGCACGACCGCACAACATGTGGAGGTTGTGGCGGAGCTGAACGCGGCCTTGGCGCAGGCGCGGATGACGTCGCACCAGCCGCCACAAGAAGAGGTGGAGGCAGAAGGAGCAGAGGAAGACGAAGAAGCAGAGGAAGAAGTTGTCGGAGAAGCCGATGTGTTTTCGACTTCCGCTGAGAGGACAAAAAACGACGTGGGCGGCAGAGACGTGGGCCGCGGTTTATCGGCGCGGGTGCTTCTCTCCCCGCCGCCTGACGCGGCCTCGCCCTCACGCTCTGCGGCGACGTCACCGCGCGAGAGTCGTCTGGAGCGGCTGGCGCGTGAGGCCACTGCCGCAAGTGAGAGCCACGATGCCGCGGCGGCCCTGCCACTGCGCCTTGGCCTCTTCACTGCCACGCCCCTCGTGACATTTCCACGGCCGTCCGCGGCGTCGCTGGAGGCCGCGCGGCAGGCAGTGGCTGCTGCCGTCGCGCGCGGTGCGGGGAAGCCGCACGCCGGCGCGGCTGCGGTGGCACGTGGACGCGGGTGCGGTTGTCCCCGGCGGGTGCGCGGCGACGGTGAGGGCCGTGCGGTGGGGGCGTGGCACCTCCTGCGGCGCCTAGTGCCCGGCGAGGACGACGACGACGACAGTGGCGTCGGTGGCGGTGGGCTCTTCAGCGCCGCCGTCGGCGTGTACGACGGGGTGCAGAAGCTCGCGAAACGCTGGCGTCGCGCGGAGGACGCGGCCCGGCGGCACGGCAAGCGCCTGCAGGGGCTGGAGGCCCAAGCCGCCGCGGTGCCGCGGCTGGAGGAGTCTCTGCGGCGGCAGACCCGCCTCAACGGCGCCCTGCACTGCCGCGCGGAGGAGTCGGAGGAGGTGGCGCGGCGGCTGCGGGGGCAACTGGCCGCTGCCCGCTGCGAAGTGGCGAAGCTCAAGCAGCGACAGCTCGCGGAGCCGCAACGACACGGCGGTCTCGCTGAGGCGGGAGCGGACGAAGAGGAAGCGGCTGCGGGGAGGCGGCAAGTTAGGCCGGCGCAGGAGCGGAGCCGCCCTGCGCGGCAGCCCAGCCGTGACGCGGGCGAAGCCAATCCTCCTCGTTGGGGTTTTTGCCGCGGAGGCAGTCGGGCGTTGCGGAACTCCGGCGTGAGGGCCCCGCATGACACAGCGAGGACGCGCAGGAGTGAGGACGCCGTGCGACGCGAGCGGGCCCGCGCGGACGCCGCCGCGGCAGAATTGTCGCGGGTGCGGCAGGAGCTGCAGCGGGCCCACAGTGAGCTGCGGCAGGGCAAACACCTCCTCGCGTGCCTCGTGCGGGAGGGGCGCAGTGAGCTGCGAGAGCACAGCCTCATCGATGCGGCGGCGGCGACCTCCACGACAGTGGCGCAAAGGCGACAAACACACATGGCGTGCGGCGCGTCTGTCGCTGTGGATTCGCCTGAGCCCAGACCGCCCCCGATGCTCGCGACGCCCGTTGCAGATGTCTGTGGGGGCGCGGGGGAACACGACACCCCTCGCAGGGCAGAGTCTGCATCGGCTTTAGTATCGACACCCCGCTCCTCCCCGCCGCAGGAGGCGGAGGAATCAACGACACCCACCGTCGTGGGCCAGCGCGGCGCGCAAGCAGAGTGGCAGGAGGATCAGCAGCCCGACGCGGCGACGCCACGGGGGAAAGGCCGGAGTAGCCGGCGCGTGGAGCTTGCAGACGGCGAGGATGACGACGACACCGTCGCCCCGTGGGGTGACTGGTCGAAGTCGCCGCTGTAGCGACGGCTCTGCGCACACCACGCTGAGATACACACGCAAAAAACTCTCATGTGAACGAAGTGTTTTCGTTTTGTTTTGTTTTGCTTATTTTTTTTATTGCGGCGGGTGCTGCTGTGCGAACGCGGCACTCCCATGGGCCGTTGCCGTGACTGCAGCCCACACGCAGACAGACAGCGAAGGACGCAGAGCAGGGGGAGAGAGACGGGGTGTGTGTGTGTGTGTGTGTCTATGCATTTCTCTCCCGCCGCGTCGCAACTCTCACTCCCTCGTTATCTCCCTTTCTTGCCCTCTGCCTCCTGCCATCTGCGCCGACGTCCCCTCTCGTGCGGGGCAGGGAGTGTGAGAGGGACGAGACGACGACAGTTGTGGGGGCCCCCGTGCGGTGACCCGGCGCGTGAGAAGCGAAGAGGCGAGCAAAGGCAATAGGAATAGAAGAAAAAAAAAAGGAAAAAAGCCAACAACAAGGAGCAAAAGCACCAGGGGGTGTCCGTGGGACGCGACGATGTCGGACGCAGAGCAGGACGAGGAGGTCGCGATGGAGCTGCCGACTATTTGGCAATTCGTGCACCCCGAGTACGCCCGCGGCGACGGCTCCGCGAAGGGCGGCGGCGGCGAGGATGAGGAAGAGGAGGAAAGCGAGCAGGACGACGAGGTTGCCCGCAAGCGGAAGGCGCCGAAGCTGAGCAAGCTGCTGCGCTTCCTCAACGACGTGGAGGATGATGAGGAGCTGGAGCCCATGCTGCAGGAGCGGGACCCGGTGACGCAGCAGACCCTCCTGCAGTGGGCGACGCGGCAGCACCACTTCACGCTGGCGGAGTATCTTGTGAAGCGGGCGAAGCGTGTGGCCTTCGGCTTCCCGCTGGACTCCACTGAGATGGCCGTGTACGCCAAGTGGGAGGAGATGCGGCCGGAGCTGCCTTCCCCCGCGGAGCTGCAGGCACGCCAGCAGGAGCGGGACAAGAAGCGGGCGGAGCGGCTTGCCGCCAAGCTGAAGCAGGAGCAGGAGGGCGCCGACAACGACGACGAGGAGGAGGAGGAGGAGGACAACGAAGACGAGGCGGAGGAGGACGAGGAGAATGAGCCGTTGCCGGAGGAACTCGTCTACGAGGCCCTCTCAGAGTACCAGGATGAGTGGGGGGAGCGTGGCGTGGGTATTGTGAAGCAGATTGGCGAACTTGGCGTCTACGTTGGGGCGCGGCTGCGGGATGGCACCAAGCAGGGCCTCGGCCAGGCGCTCTTTCCCAACGGCGACGCCTACACTGGCGAGTACGAAGACAACCAACGCCACGGCACGGGCCTGTACTGGTGGGCGACGCAGGGCGTCATTTACATCGGCCACTGGTACCGCAGCGTGCGGCACGGGTACGGCCGCATCGTGTACCCCGACGGCTCCCGCTACCTGGGCGGCTGGTCGCGTGACAGGAAGCACGGCAATGGACGCTACGTGTACGCCGACGGCAGCAGCTACGACGGGGCCTGGGAGCACAACAAGAAGCACGGCTACGGCGTCTACCGCTTCACCGACGGCTCCTCCTTTCACGGCAGCTTTGTGGACAACGAGTTCGTCGCCGGCGAGTGGCGGCTGGCCTCTGGCGTCACGCGGTACATCGGCAACTTTTCAAAGGACGTGCCCGTTGGCGCCGGCGTCTTTCTGCATCGCCTTGGGCCCAACTCGCACGACGCCTTTCAGCAGGAAGGCATGTACATTAAAGGGGAGTGGCACCCGGGCGTGTTGCACGGCACGACCCGTGTGCCGCCGCGCCTCGAGGTCTTTGCGCCGCAGCAGGAGGAGCCGAAGCGAGTGCCGGTCACCTTTGCGCCGGAGTGCAACGGCAGAACGATGGTGGACCTCGTCAAGGCGGTGAACTTCCCACCCGTGCAACGGTGGATCAAGTCGCTTCCCGCCGTGCGTGACAACGCCAAGTACGGCGTGGTGGTGCTCTCCATTGCGGTTTGCTCCGTCAAGTACGACCCGCAGGACCCGAACCTCGTCGTGGAGGTGCGGCTGCGCCCTGTGCTGCACGACGCCGTGGGCAAGCGCCTGCGGCTCTCCTCGACGGGCGACGAGACGGTCATCCTGAAGGAGTGCGCCACGCGGCTGATGCTCATCGTGGAGCGCCCGGGCGCCACCGACGCGGAGCGCCAGCCGATGGTCGTGCTGGAGCGCTCCGTGCAGCTGGCGTGTGCGGGGGCGAACCACATGCAGCACCGCCTGCCCACTGTCCAGGTGTCGCTGTAGGGCGAGATTGAGGGGGCCTTCGCCCGCGCCATTCAGCCCGCGCTGCGGGTGACGCTGAACCGTCAGACGACGACGAAGCAGCTGCTGCGCCCCATGCACAGCGACCCGGTGCTGGGCAACGCCGCGGAGGAGGTGGTCATGTACGTGCAGGAGTGGCACCCCGACGCCCACGCCAAGCTGCGGGAGAAGCTCGAGGTGGCGTCGCGGGTGCCCCCACCACCGCCGCCGCCGGAAGCAGCCACGAAAAAGGCACGCGACAAGTCCAAGGCGGCGGCGGCGGCAGAAGCAGTGGCAGAAGCAGAAGCAGAAGCAGCGGAGACTGCGAAGACTGTGGGGGCGGAGGGGTGTAGTTACGTCGCCGTCCCGCTGCGGGCTGTCGCGGGGGTGTCGAATGAGGCCCTCACCGTCATCGCAGCCGCCGTCGCGCTGCGGCGCCGCAAGGCGGGCGAGCTGCCGCTCGCCACCGCACCGAAGCAGCGGCCGCCGACGCCGCTGCCGCCGGCGCCGGAGCCCCGGCCGGAGCTTCAGCCGCTCTTCGACGCCCGCGCGGCGCTGCGGCTCACGGAGGAGGGCGGCGACGACGACGACGACGACGGTGATGCCGCCGGTGGGGCGGAGTGAGCCGCCGCCGACGCGGATGCGGGGCGGGGGCACGAAGAATAAAAAGAGCATTACGGGAAGATGGGAGAAGAAAAGACAAGAGTGGCGTGTGAGGGGCGGGGGCAAGTGGAAATGCCTACGAGACATCCGTGCGGCGCGCCGACGCGTCCCCCGTCATTGTTTCTCCTTCGCCATAACTCCTTGTGCCTTTTTTTATGCGTTTTTTGTGCTCTTCCTTTTCTTCCCTCCATGCGCCGTTTTCCCCCCGCCCCGTGCAAATGTAAAGTTCTCTTCGCGTGTGTGTGTGTGTGTGTGTTGCAATGGCGACTGACGCATACGCATTGCAGTCATTCGTGTTGCTGCCGTTTGGCCGCCGCCGCTTTTGTTTGTTTGTTTTAGATCTACCGACGCTCCCGCTTCACTTCCCTCCCTCGCAGGTGGGTGGGAGAGGCAAAGCGAAACAAAAACAACATGAAAGAATGGAAAAAAAAGGAGGAGGAGGAGGAGGGGGTGGGGGAAACGCCAGAGTGCGCCGCAGGTGACGTTGTGTTTGGCTGCGTGCATAGTGCCTCGGTGCGGGGGAGGGGGCGTGTGCGCGGCGTGTGAATGTATATGTTCTGCTCCCCCGTGCGCCGCCTGCGCTCTCTCTCTCTCTATCTCTCTCTCTCTTTGCGTGCGTGTGGGCGTGGGCGCCTCCCTTCCGTGCCTTTTCTCCCAGGCACACACACACACACGCGCACTCTCTCTCCCTCTCTCCCTCTCTCTCTTTCTTGCCGCGAGGGAAGAGGCGGTTAACGCGCGCGTTCTCTCACGTAACGAAGTGCAAAACAAAACAAAAAAAGAGGCATTGGTAGTCGCAAGGACAAAAAAAAAGAAATAATAATAATAATAATAAAGACAGAGCGGGAGGGACCGAGCGAGCGCGAAGGAAAGCGAGGTCCCACTGTGCATACACACATCTAACGCGCATCCCGCTGCATAGAGGGAGGCAACGAACTTGACGAAGAGAGGGGGGTGCGTGCGTGGGGTAGGGAAATTTGCCCTTCATGTTCTTCTCCACGTATGTCCTGACGAAGCGGGGGCCGCTCGCGAAGATTTGGCTTGCGGCGCACTGGGACCGTCGCCTGACGCGCAACGAGGTGCGTGTGGTGGACCTGCGTCAGTCGGTGGTGGAAATTGTGCAGCCGGCGGTGCCCATCGCCCTGCGCACCAGCGGCGAGCTCCTCGTCGGGGTAGTGCGCATCTACGCGCTGAAGGTGAAGCACCTGCTGAAGGACGCCACGGACGCCACTCTCATTCTGCGCGTCGCGCCGCTTCCGGCGAAGGCAGGAGCCACGCCCGCCGGCCTCGGCAAGCATCACAAGCAGGAGCCGGAGGGAGCGCTGGCGATGCTCGACGGCGTGCTGATCAGCGGCAGCGGCGACATTGAGGCGGTGACGTTTGACTGGAGCGGCGGCGCCGCGGCGGAGACGGTGGCGACGGGGAAGACCGACGCGGAGGCCCTCGAGGCCCGCTTTGACGACATTGCCGACCTGCTGCATGACGCAAGGCAGCCGCGGAGCACGCCGGGCGTCAGCGCCAGCAGCGGCCGCAACAATGACGCCTCCGCGCTGCTGGCCTCCGCGTGGTACGCGGTGGAGCCCAGCTCGCAGGCGGTGGAAGAGGTGCACAGCACCCAGCAGGACTACGACGAGATTGCCAGGCTGCGGGCCGACCTGGTCGCCTTCGGGGACCGCGTGAGCGGCAGCGGCAGCAGCAAGAGGTCAAGCAACCCGAGCATTGAGAAGGCTCGTGGCAGCGGCGTGCTGGGGATGACGCCCGCAACCGGGCTCGGCGGCGAGTTTGCCGGCTTTCCCGCGCCAGGGGAGGAGCTGGACATTGGCGTGCCGCTCCCGGAGGATCACGCGCTGCTGCCGGACTTTATGATGCCGCTGCCGGGGGGCGAGGAGGACCCCTTTGCGCTGCCAGACTTGGCGCCGCACGCGACGGCGCGGAAGACGCGCTCCGTCAACGTGTTTGACCTCGCTGCCACCACCGTGTCGGGAGAGGCGGTGCAGCGGTGGATGGATGACCGCAGCGACATCGTCGACGCTGTGCCACGGCGGGGGCCGTACGACGCGCAGGAGGCGCGCGACCGCGCCACGCTTGCGCCGGAGTCCGGCAAACATGAGGTGTGGGCGCTGGTGGGCGCGGCCCCGCTCTCCTGGCAGCCGAACCCGTCGCTCCGCGCGGCCTACACGACGCTGCTGGGCCCGTTTGTGGCGCAGGCCGAGGCCGACGCGGTGCCGCCGCTGCACCAACAACAAGCCCAGCAGCAGGACGAAAACATTCCGGCAGGCGGAGCGGAGGAGGAGGAGGGAGGCGTCTTCGCCGCGGCGTTGAACGAGGAGGAGGCGATGCAGAACACGGGCGCGGCAATGCAGGCCCGCAGGCGCGGACGCGAGGAGAAGGACGCGAGTGACGCCGCCAGCGGCGCTGGAGGCCTCTCGGTGGTCGCCCTGGCGACGCTCAAGCGCATCCGCGACGAGCTTGAGCTGCCGGGGCAGCAGGAACGGCCGTCAAAGCGGGCACGAAGGGAGGCCGCGCCTCGCGAGCATTGCCTGCTGCAGAGCGTTTGCCGCGGCATGCACCGCCGTGAGGCGGCCCGCGCCTTTGTCAGCGTCCTCGCCCTCGCCTCAAAGCAACTCGTCTCTGTGCGCCAGCCGGCGCTGGCGGGGGACGTCGAGTTGGGCCTCATGCCAGCGGGGGAAAGCCTCCTCCGCGCGTCTTGAGTCCGGTGCCTGGCGCCCCTCACTGGTTCACCCCCCACCCTCCCCGACGAGACGGCCACTCGCCCTGCGAGGCGGAGTGGCGCTGCAGCCGCCGCCGCGGTCTCGGGGGGGGGGGGGGGGCAGGGGAGTGCAAAGATTAATGTACCCTGCTTCCTCCTTATTTATCTATTTGTTTTCTTCCCTCCTTATTGTTACAGAAATTTCTTTGTGTGGCTTGTTCTTGTTATTGTTGTTGTAGTTTTCCCCCCCCCCCCGCCCTTCGTCGTCTCCCCCGCGGCTTTTTTTTTCTCCTTTTCTTTTTATTTCTATCGGGAGGGGGCGGGTGTTTGCGTGTGTGTGTCTGTTGCCGGGGAAGTCTCACACCGTCGTATTTGTTTTATCGGGTTTCCTTCCGCGGTGGATTCTTGTTCCGTTTACTTTGACTGGTTTTTTTTGTTGCTGACACGCGCAACGCCGTGTGTGTGTGTGTGGCAGGGGAAGAATGGGCAGGGCGCCCCCCCCCCCCCGCCCGCCCGCTCCGCTCCGCCGGCAACGCTTGGCGGTGCACGCACCGCATTGCATATAGACATTTATTTGCTTCTATATTACAAAATATATATATATACACACACGCATACATAAATGGTTGAGGGAAGTGGGTGAATGAAGGTGTGGGGTTAACGGCGTCCCCCCGTGGCGCGTCAGAGCGCGAGAGCTCATGGAGGTGCGCACGTTGCGCATGCGCGGGGATGGAGAAGGACTGGCGGCGGCTGCGGTGACGCAGTCCACCCCTCACTCCCTCTCTCTCTCTCCCTCCCTGTCCCTCACTCTCTGCCTGCGTGTGTGGAGGAGTGGTGGCGAGGAAAATGAACAGAGGGCACATAGAGAGGTAAGGGCGGGGGGGGGGAACTATAGAGAAGGCGAAGGGGGGAAGCGAAGGAAGAAAAGGAAACGATGCAAGGCGTCTATGCCTGCGAGGGCGAGAAGCGAATCAGCCCCTCCACCACTTGGCTGAGGATGCCCGTGGGCAATGCGACGCTCGAGACTTCGCCGCGTTGCCGCGCGTGCATCCCCCCGTGCCGCGAGTGTTTGCCATTCACTGCTCCCTGTGGGGTACTTCTCCCTTGTTTTTTCCTTTTGTGCTTGTTCTTTTCTTACTCGCCTGCCCCTGCGCCGCCGCCTCTGCAGAGAGAGAGAGAGAAAGGGGAGAAAAAAAAAGGAAGGAGCAAAAGCGAGGCGCCGCTGCCGTGGGGACAGGTGCTGCGCACGTATCATACACGTAACCCTACAGCGAGAGAGAGAAAGAGAGCGCGAGGGGGGGGGTGGCACGGACGCGTCCTCCTGCCGCTCCCCACGCACCGCCGCGAATGTCCAAGTACGCCGACCCCGACTACTGGGAGGAGCGCTACCGCAGCAACGACACCACGTACGACTGGTACGTCACCTTCGACAACCTTGAGCCCCACCTGCGCCCGCTGCTGCAGCCGCCAGAGCAGATCCGCGTGCTGGTGGTTGGCTGCGGCAACAGCCGCCTCTCGGTGGGCCTCTACGACGAGCTGAACATCCGTAAAATCACCAACGTCGATGTCTCGCCCACTGTCATTGCCCAGATGGAGCGGCGGTGCAAGGCGAAGAGCGAGATGCAGTGGGTCTGCTGCGACCTCGTCAACACGTCGCCGGAGAAGCTGCTCTCGCTGCTCTGCCCGAACGACTACCTCTTCGACTTTATCATTGACAAGGGCCTTACCGACGCTGTCCTCGGCGGGCACAACTCCTTTCACAACGTCTACACCCTGATGAAGAACCTCTCGCGGCTGCTGAAGAAGGGCGGGCGCTTCCTCTCCGTGTCGTACGGGGCGCCGGAGACCCGCATAGACCACTTCCGCCGCCGCAAGCTCTACTTTGACGTCGAGCACAAACCCATTGAGAAGCCGATGTTCAACTCCACGGCGCGGCCCACCGGGCACTACCATCTCTACATCATGACAAAACTGGGGGAGAAGCAGGTGGCGGCGGCAGTGGGGGACGTGGGGGCCGGCCTCGACGGCACCACCGCCAGCGCCGACTCCGACGACGACGAGGACGAGTTTTACGATCGCTTCATGATGCAGACTTCGTCACCCGCGCTGGTGGCGGACCCCAGCCGCATCCGCACGCTGTAGCACTCCCTCCCCACTAACTAGAGAGAGCTGCGCGAGAGCGCGATGCGCGTAGCTTTATATGTAATTTGGCACGCATGCGTGCGTGCGTGTGCGTGTGTGTGTGTGTGTCTTAGCGCGGCTCACGATAGTCGTCTTTCATCACCGACTTTCGGGGGCACGCACACGCACACGCCCCCATTATATGTACACTGGGGCGGTGGTGTGGGTAGTAGGGAGGAGGAAGGGAAGGAAAATGGGTGGCGGCCGCAGCAGCGGCAGTCGTGCCACCCCGGCGATGATGCACGAGAGGCGAACGGGGCCCGAACCACGCACGCTCGCTACACCTCTGCCCCCCTCCCCTCACTACTTCCTGTAAACCCCCTAATTGCACGCTTTCCTTCTGTCTGCTTCTGCTTACGTCTGCCCTAGTGTGTCTGTGTGTGTGTGTGAACGTGTGTGCCGGCTCCTTGAGCGCACGCCGGCTTCGTTTTTTTTCTTCTTTTTTCCTTTCCTTCGTTGCTGACTTCCCCTTTCTTCCCTCCATTGGTTTTTGTCTCTTTTTCTGCTTGCTCGATTTGCTTCGCGCGGCGGCAGCAACAACACGTGGGTGGGCGAGGAACTCAAGAGACTCCCCACCGCCGCTCTGCAGGAGGAAAGAGGCGGAGGTCGTCGCGTGTCTTTCCTGCCGCGCTGTCGGTCTGCGCCTGACGCGTGCGCGGATGACGGCGGACGGCGGCGACTGGGCACATCTCCGCACACACGCGAGCGGGCAGGAAAGACACTGCAGAGGTAGAGGGCGAGACGACCGGGCCAGCGTGGGGCGAGCCATGTGGGACGGGGAAGTCTCGAGCGTCGCCCGCGGCAGCGGACTCCCCGAGGCGCTGCCCCGCTCACGCCGGGAGGTGCCAGCGTACGCCAAGTCACTTTTGCAGTCCGCCTACGACGACGGCCGCCTCAGCTGTGCGCAGTTCGTCGCCGTGGCGAAGCAGGCGCTGCTGTTTGTCGCGCGCGCGCGCAGGAGGTCGGCACGCGGCGGTGCTCCAAGGCCTTCGTGGCGCAAGTTGTGCGACTGCAGATGACGCAGCTGCCCCACGCCACGCCGCGCAACGCCCATGACGAGGCGGCGGTTCCACTCGGCAGCGGCGAGCGATGCTGCACCGTGCGGTGGGGCAACTCCGCGCGCGCGCGTGGCCTTGCGGGGGCAGCGGCAGACGTCGTTGTCGATCCGGCGTGCTGCAGTGGGCGCTCGCGCGTCCTGGTGAGCGACCCCCGGCGACGCGCGTGCGCGGCGGCGACGACTCCGCCGAAGGTGTAGTTCGAGCGCGTCTCCCCGCGCGGCGGTGGGGCGACTGATTGCTGTGGAAGTTGCCGCGGCCCGGCGCGTCCCCCCCCTGCACGGAGGAGGGCGAATCCGACGACGACGAGGGGCTGCCGCGGGGGCGCGTGGAGCGCCGTCTCGGGAAAAAGCCCCCAGCCGGAGCCCCGCGGCCGCCGGCGGATTGATTTGCTGCAGCCGCGCCGGCTTCCTTTCTTTTTTTTTTTGTTTCTCTTTTTTTTGACGCTGCGTGTTCTCGCCGTTGCGCCGTTCTCTGCGGGGAGATTCCCTCATTTGTTTCCGTCTTCCCGCCCGCCCCCGCCGCAGCAGGAGACCCCCCGACCCCATGGCGTTCTTTCCGCGTGGCGGCCCCGCCAAACAAATGGGCCTCGTGCGCACAAAAGACGCCAGAGATTTCAAAGCGCGGCGGTTCCGATGTCGCCTTGGGAGAAGTCGACGAAAAAATTTCACCAACAGATCCCTCTTCCTATCGGGGGGAGAAAAAGGAAAAGGAGGGGAAGAGAACGGCTGTCGTATGCGCCCGCCGCGGAAAAGCTTCCCGGCCGGGAATTGAACCCGGGTCACCCGCGTGACAGGCGGGTATACTTACCACTATACTACCGAGAACCGCGGGGGCCGGGATTTGCTGACCTCACAATAAAATTTTAAAAAAACTTTGTAAGCTTTCGCCCAAAACGCAACAATCCTCGCGCTGCACGCGATCGCCCTCCCGAGGGAGACCGCGACGGTGGCCCCTTCCGCTTCGCACGCAAACGGCGGAAGTTGGGAACGAGTTCGCTCGTCGGCTCCGTTTCTTCCCCCTGAAGTGCGGCGCGGGGGGAGAAGTGGCGACGCGTACCTGTTGAGGCACCTCCCCCCGCGGGCGCGCGCGAAAGCGATTCGTGGGAAGCAAAACGATGAAAATAAAAGGCGCTGCCTCCACCCAACGGACGAGCGACGCCGTCCACGCGTATTGGCGCCACGGACGGGGAAACGGTTCAGGGCTTGGGAGGCCGAACCGGCCGCAAGCGAGCCGAGCCAGTTGCATGCTGAACTGTCGAGCTCGGGTGCCTCCAACCCCTCCAGGCCAAATTTGAATTGTCCGGCCGCACAGGGGAGCAAGTGCCCCGGCGTCTCCTCGCACCGAAAGTGGGGAGTATTGCATAGTTGCGGTGCAATGGGAATACGCGGCGGGAAGCGGTCTGGGTGAAGTTTTCGAGCATGCGCACGCGGGCCCAGCTGGGCGCCCACGCGTGTTTTGGGCAGCACGGGCTCTCTGAGCGACCAGGGTGGCCGCGAGAGAACTCAGTTCACCACAGGAGCCTTCAGGGCGTGTTGGCTGCAGCAGT